AAACATATTAAACGTTCTAAAAACGATTGGATTCAAAATAGAAATAAATGCAAACACCAGAAGAGTCATCTCTCTAGACGCCACCCTCAGTCTGGACAAAGAAGCCTATGAACCATATAAAAATGATGACACCCTCACATACATACACTAATACTCCAACCATCTATCCTCAATCATCAAGCATATATTCAAATCCATCAGCCGCAGGCTATCAGACAACTCATTTCACATAAATTTTTTAACGACAAAAAACGCCATTATAACAATGCACTAAAGAAAAGCGGATACAAATATCGGCTAGATTATACGCCACTACAACCAAAACGGAGAAAAAAAAACAGAAAAAGAAATATAATTTGGTTCAACCCACCATACAGCAAAACCGTCAGAACAAACATCGGAAGACATTCCTAAATCTAATAAGAATACTTCCCCGTAACAAACTCTTTAGCAAAAATATTTAATAAAACATCGTAAAAGTTTGCTACAGCTGCACTAAAAACATAACACAAAAAATAAAAATCCGCAACAAAAAATAATAACTTGCAATAGCGTAATCAAAGATCCCCACAATGCAACTTCAGAGTCAAAACTACATGCCCACTACAATGAAATTGCCTACAAACGAATATAGTATACAGAGCTACGTTAAACGCAAACAACACTACAATGTAATACATTAGCGCTACAGAAGGAACATTCAAGCAAAGAAAATGCATCCATGACGTCTCATTCTCCAACAGAAAAATACTCGGCACCATACTATCCACATACGTATGGCAATTAAAAGACAGAAACATCATACCAAAAATAAGCTGGGAAATAATGAAAACCGCACCTGTCTATAATAACATATTAAAGAGATGTCTAGTTTGTTTACATGAAAAAGTGGCAATAATCTCCCACACTCAACAAAAGAATTACTAAATCAAAGATCAGAAATAACCTAGAAATGCAGACACGAAAATAATGCCTACAACAAATCTGATCCCGACTAGGAATGAAGCTACCGAAAAAATGGTAGAGCACCAAAACGCAAGAACACTAAAACCACGAAAACATAACCACCAACACCTATCATTAACACTACCTGCACTGTAACCAACACTACCAACATACCCACAAACACAAGTACCACTATAACAATTAACAGAAACCAATGAAAATATCATCACCAGTATCTACACTACCACCATTCCTAGGACTAGAAAAAATCACTTTATAACCATCTCCACTACCATTTGTACTGCTTTGTAACACTTTCATTGTTTTATTATTATTATTATTATTATTATTATTATTATTATTATTATTATCACCACAACTATAATCATAATTATTATACTTTCGTTTCCATCATCATTAAGGCTAAATTTACCGTTAACGCATCATAATAACTATTATTGACATTTTGATAATAATTAATATCACAGCTACAATCACTATCATCATAATCACAACCATCAACAACCCACAAACAGTTAGCGTTGAAAATACATCATCATCACCAGGTCCACAAACAGAAACCAGCTTAACCAAAGTGGTGGTGAAAGACCCAGATCATCAAGAGTGTAGGTGCGTGTCAACATGTGTGTGTATGTGTGTTAGGAAGTCTAAGTTAGTCTGACGGTGCAGGCGATAGATCTGAAAAGCTTCAAGACTATTCCTACCCGGTCCTTGTTGTAAGGAACATCGCTACATATAATAAAAGCTACGGCCTCGACACCGAAAAAGAATTACAACTATATATATATATATATGCCCGAACGCATGGATGTGTATCAGCGCCTAGCCTCCGATTGTTTATATGGATGTGTTTTTGTGAACTAAAATGCGTACACCTGTATGTATGTGTGTCTATTTATATAGGAGTGTAATCCCAAACAAACACAGAAGTAAATTCCCCCTCCAACTACCAAAAATAGTCAAACAAGCATAAATAGATCCAATTTTAAAAAATAAACCAGTTCATCTGATAATCACAAAAGCGGGATACCAAAGGTCACAAACTCATATCCATACAACAATTTATATATATATATATATATATATATATATATATATATGTGTGTGTGTGTGTGTGTGTGTGTGTGTGTGTTTGTTGTTTGTCGATTGATGAAACTCGGGTTACGACTAGGACCATCATTTCATAGGATTTAACGTTGTTAAGCGTTTTTGGTCTGTCTAGGTAATCTAGGTTTTGAGCAATTTACTGAGTAGGTTGGTTTGTATTTAAGCCTATTCCTTTTTTTAGTATGGTCGTTTTTGTTTGAGACTCTATCTAGATAAGAGTTTTAGTTTTTGGCAAGTTGTCAGTTGGTTCCATTAGCAGTCTATTTTTTTTTAATAAAAAACTGACCGGCTTAGGAAACAGCTAATCAAATTCTTTAAGGATCAGGGACGGAACATCATCACTGTCACAAATGCCAAGGTGATCATTTATTGTAAACTACGTTCGATCTGTTCAGAGGAGCCTTATAAGTGAACTTTATAATCACACATATATTCGTAAAGAATCTAACCACACGCCGTGTATTCTTAATAACCGCCACAAATCTGTGCAGCATAGACCCTCCATTAACTCCAGCAGTAAAAACATCTTTGGCAAATACAAAATAAAATACGTTGATGCATTAAATAAAAGTCTAGCCACACTGATGAGCTGTGATACAGCGAAACAGTCTGTCTGTTGAAAACAAAAAATCAGTGTCTATCGGGCATTCATTCTCACCACGCATCTTTTTGTGTCAGAATCGTGGACGCCATACAAGACACACATCAATCAACTTGATGCTTTTCATAAACGCTGTCTTCGTTCAAGGTGTGGTTATATACTGCAGGACAAAATCTCTAAACCTCATCTTTTCCTCAAATGTGGCATCGGTGGTATGTAATCCTTTTTGACGCAATCACAATTTAACCTACCATACATGTATTATAAAGTTAGTTATTATAAGTCATTTATAATCATACATATATTAGTAAAGAATCTAACAGCACGCCATGTATTCTTAATAATTTACACAAATCCGTGCAGCATAGGCTCTCCATTAAATCCAGCAGTAAACACATCTTTGACAAATACAAAACCAAATACGTTGATGCATTAAATAGAAGTAAGCATAATGTTGAACTAAAGTACATCCCTAACACTAGTACGAATACCTATAGTAAATGTAAGAATAGAAAGAGTAACATTATTTGGTTCAATCCTCTCTTCAACCGTAACGTCAGTGTGACGCCACTTGGTCCAGGGTCGAATCCTTTGGTCACGGCGCCAACTGTGACGTCGCTCCTCCTGGTCGCTCTTCGCTGTTCCAAGTGTGACGTTCCAACCCCTTGGTTAGATGATTACCAGCCTCGCCTTTCCCAACTCGCTTCCAACACCTGGTTACTAGGGTAACTGTACTGATCTCCGGTCTGCCTACCCACGTTGTGATTAGATCTTAGACAGACGGGATCAAACAGGGGATTGGGGCCGTATGCAAGTTGAGTTCGACGGGGTGGCAAAACACAAGTAAAAAAAAAAAACTCACGAGGCCAAAAATTACTGATAAAAAAGGGTAACAACCTTTTATATCTAATGTTCGTTACATAAAAATTGTTCTTGCTTCCCGACCCGCTTTGTGGACTGTGGCACCAAGCTTCTATCATACAACTTAAAGACTTCGAGTTGCCTACTCTCTAGAATTTTGTATGTCGGAGTGTGGTTTAGTTTTGACACTGGGCGCTAATCTCTACCAGTCGTTCACGGCTGATTCTTCTCTTCGGCTTGAGTTGGACGTATTTCTTCACTTCGATTTGGTTTGGACGAATTTCTGTTCTTGGGCTTGGTTTGATTTCAACTTCTTCTATGCATAACTGCAAGTAACTTCTTCTTCTTCCGTCCTGCAACTCTTCTCTCTGCCGTCTGAGGTGATCTGAGCTCTCTGTCGTCCGGGGCTGAACTGAGCTCTCTGTCGTCCGGAGCTGAACTGATCTGCTTGTTTGGCCTGCAACTTTACTGCCTGTCTGGCCTGCAACTCTTCTCTCTGCCGTCTGGGGCTGAACTGATTTCTGTCGATTGGGGTTCTGCTTTTATTGACGCCGCAACAAACTGGGGTGGGTCTGTCGGCGTCAGGGTTTTCTCGATAATTTCAAAAGTCGCATTATTTCTGATTTCACATTATCGCTCTTATTTTCACCCCTACTTCCTCACAGTGCCTCTGGTGGAGAGGCGCATACCCATCTCTCCCGGTCTCTCGTATGTCAGGTGACCGTTTTCGACCAATGGGTCCTGGTCGAGCGTCCTTTCTCCTCTTTCTCGCATATCACGTGACCGCTTTCGGCTAATGAGATTCTGGTTGGGCGTCTCCCGTACTTCGTGACGTCTCCAATCGGGCGTGGCTTATCCCGGCTTTGTTCTGGGAAAGAACACCTTGCTAAAAAACAGAATCCAATTTGGCCTTTTTCGCACGCACGAAAAATGACAATCTCGGCCTTTCTCACCTTTCTGGTTTTTGTCAAAACAGCCCGCCGCTAATTAGATGTGACTTCAGGAAGGATTTTTTACGTCTCGCTGGCGCTTTCTGTGAGCCAAAAACAATTGTTTTCACCTCTTTGACCTGATAGTCAAAAATCTTAATTATCTGAATTGAAAATGTCTTCACTTCATCATCGTGGGGGTTCTAATTTTTAACAGGTCAGAATCTGTATACAATTCCAGCGGTCACCTTCTCATCCCAAAAGACACCCTTCTCCGATTAATATTTCGTTTTTCATTGTTCTAAAAAAAATCCCATTTCTCCAAATTGATAATGAGTCTTCTACACAAAAGTAGGCCAGATGCTTTTACCGACATTTTTATCAATCGTACATATGTTCATACACTTTTACCAAGTCTGTTTTCTTTCTTTCTTTTAATTACCTTTAATTCTATTCTTCCAAATAACAATTTCCATTGTCATTGAAATTCGGTCAGGCGCGTTGGCCTAGATACCTCTTGACACCTGTTTTCGCTAATGACCGGCCTTTTGCATTACTCATCCTCTCCCTTTCTTTTCCTCTTTCTCTTTTTCTTTTTCCCTTCTTTTTTTCTTCCCTTAGGATCGCCTAAGTACAATTAGAGAATTATTCTCGAAACTCAATTATTCTTCGTCTAAAAAGTAACAACTGTTTAATAAACCGAATAAAAAAAATTAAATCATATTTCTATGAATATTTCTTTTTTTTAGTTTTTCTAATAATGCAGGGTGCCACAATCCTCCCCTAACCGATTTGTCATTTACCCGTAAATGACACCTAAACCCAATTACATCATTTAACATGAACCATGCATTTGTCTCATGCAATTCTATTCTAACATGCAAGGGTAATATTCTTTTCATGCAATGTAATGTTCTTTTCATCTTTTTTTTGTTCTACATGCAAGGGTAATGTTCTTTTCATCTTCTTTTGTTCTACATGCAATGTAATGTTCTTTTCATCTTCTTTTGTTCTACATGCAAGGGTAATGTTCTTTTCATCTTCTTTTTGTTCTACATGCAATGTAACGTTCTTTTTTTCACTTTCTTTTTTTGTTCTACATGCAAGGGTAATGTTCTTTTCATTTTCTTCTGTTCTACATGCAAGGGTAATGTTCTTTTCATTTTCTTTTGTTCTACATGCAATGTAATGTTCTTTTTTTTTTTTTTTTTGTTCTACATGCAAGGGTAATGTTCTTTTCATCTTCTTTTGTTCTACATGCAATGTAATGTTCTTTTCATCTTCTTTTGTTCTACATGCAAGGGTAATGTTCTTTTCATCTTCTTTTGTTCTACATGCAATGTAACGTTCTTTTCACTTTCTTTTTGTTCTACATGCAAGGGTAATGTTCTTTTCATTTTCTTCTGTTCTACATGCAAGGGTAATGTTCTTTTCATTTTCTTTTGTTCTACATGCAATGTAATGTTCTTTTCATTTTCTTCTGTTCTACATGCAAGGTAATGTTCTTTTCATTTTCTTTTGTTCTACATGCAATGTAATGTTCTTTTCATTTTCTTCTGGGCCCTCTTTATTCTTCTTCTGGCCTGTACGAATATCTTATGTTGCTGTTCCAGCAATAGTTGATGATGATCTTCTCCCATATACCTTCTTCGGGGCCTCAGTAGGTTATCCACAGGCAGGACTACGTCTCTGCCAAACAACAAAATTAAGGAGAAAATCTGGAGGTTTCGTTTATCGTAAACCTCACGGCTGCCAGAGCCTGCGTCAAATACAAGTCCCAATTTCCAGTGTTTTCTCTGACCAGCTTGGCCAATACATCTCCCAAGGTTCTATGAAACCTTTCCACTTTAGCATTTCCCTGGGGGTGATATGGAGATATTTTTATGTGCTCTACATTCAAGCCTGTCAGAACTTCTCTCATGATGCTGTTCACATTCTCCGTGCCATTATCTGTTACCAATTGCACAGGGGCACCATACCTAGGGAAGATTTCACTTATTATCAACCCGGCCACAGTTCTGGCCTTCTTGTCTGGTACTGCAAATGCTTCAGGCCAATTTGTTAGCCAATCGACAAAACTCACTATATAGTTGTTTCCTTGTGCAGTTTCCCCATATGGTCCTGATACATCCATACTCACCTTCTCGAAGGGAAGTTCGGTACGTCTGTTTCCTCCAAGGGTGCCATTTTCTGCCTTCTGCTCTGCGACTGGCACACTACACAACTCGAACATAGTTAGTGACTTCTCCGTATAGTTTGGGCCAATAGTACTTTCTTCCTATGAGATCACATGTCCTATCAATTCCCATGTGACCCAACCTCTCGTGGCACTGCTCCAATATCTCTGGTCTTAAACTTTTGGGCACATACAACTTGGGTTTGACTTCTTCATCCCTTCCTGAGAGATAATACAGCCTTTCCTCTATTATGGCATACTTGGTGGTCTCTCCTGCCTTCACCTTCTCTCTCAGAGCAGCTATTTCACTGTCTGCTTGCTCCTTCTCAATTCCTTCTGTCCAGTAGGGATCGGTTATTATCTGGGCGTCCCCTTCTTCGTCCGATTCTAACATAGGGCGATCTTTTAGCTTATTAGAGTTAATTACTCCTATTCTATAGGCTTTATCATCTACTCCCTGCTCTACCTTTACAGATCTTTCTTCCAGTTGTTTCGGTATTCTTGAGAGTAAATCTGCGCACGTGTTTTCCTTTCCTGCCAAATACTCTATCTTACAGTGGTAGCCACTTAACTTAAGTGCCCACTGTTGAATTTTCTTATTATTTGTCCACTCTGCCTGCAATAGGTACTGCAGAGGTTTGTGGTCTGTTTTTATAGTAAAGACCGCACCATTTAAATAGTAGTCCAGTTTTTGGAGAGCATACATGATAGCATATGCTTCCCTTTCTATTACTGGCCACCTCTGTTGTGTCTCTGAGAGTTTATGGGGGAGGAAGTATATCGGTACTTCCTCTGGTATGCCTGGCACTGGTCCTTCCTTATCAGGACACGGCTGGGTAAGTACTGCCCCTACACACTGCTCACTGGCATCCGTGTATAATATCATGAGCTTGCTGAGGTCTGGGTACGTCAGCAGTGGGACGGTTGTCAACTGTTCCTTTAGCGAATCAAATGCTCGTTGACAGTCCTCTGTCCACTTGAACCTAGCGTATTTCTTCGTCAGGGCTACTAGTGGTATGGCAATTTTTGAAAATGCCGGGACGAAGCGTCGGTAGTAGCCTATAGCTCCTATAAAACCTCTTACCTGCCTCACTGTCTTAGGCTCTGGCATTTCCCTTATGACCTTTACCTTATCCATGTCGGGTTTAATACCGTTTCCGTTTATGACGAAGCCTAAATACCTAGTTTCTTCCTTCAGAAACTGACACTTTGACAATTTTAATTTTAAGCCGTGTTTCCTTAACCTTCCCAACACTTGTCTTAAATGAAAAAAGTGTTGTTCCACTGTTTCTGAAAATATCAAGATATCGTCCAAATACGCCATGGCAAAGCTCTCGTATCCTCCTAACACTATTGACATTAGCTGTTGGAAGACTCCCGGGGTATTAGCTAAACCGAATGGCATCACCCTGAACTGAAACAGTCCCAGGTGACACGCAAATGCGGCCTTCTCCTTGTCAGCCTCATCCAGGGCTACTTGCCAATACCCGGACCTCAAGTCCAACGTAGAGAAGTACTTTGCCTTCCCTAATAATGCCAAAATGTCGTCTATCAATGGCAATGGCACCGCCAACGGCTTCGATAAAGAATTTAGCTTTCTAAAATCTACACAGAAACGGTGCCCGCCATCTTTCTTACCTACTATTACTATTGGGAAGCTCCAAGGGGAGATCGATCTTTCGATCATCCCAGCTTCCAACATTTCCTCTACTGCCTCTTCTACAAGGGGTCTTTTATGTATAGGTGTCCGGTAGGGTTTTAATTTCACAGGGGGGTGGTCTCCGGTGTCGATTTTCATTTCGACTGTGTGGGTCTGACCTAGCTCCTTGTCTGACTGGGCCACCACATCTCGATTGTCCCTTAACAGACCCCCCACTCTGGTTCTAAATTGATCCGGTGCTAATATATCTTCCTCTAAGATTCCTTCTGTTTGCTCTACTAGCTTCCTTCGTTCCTCCTCGAATCTCACCCGATTCAGAGTTCGTAGGGGAAGTGCTCTTCCTATCTTCTCCCCTCTCCTAACCTTTATAGTCTTTTGGGCCTGGTTCACCATCATTATGGGCACCAACTCGGCTGCCTCCACTACCGTTTCGCACAGGGTTACCTCGTTATCCTCTAGGCCCTTTCCTTCTCCAGGGACCAACTGCAGAGGTCCTCTCCATACAGTTTTTCCTGACATTAACCTACCCTTTCCCGACACTGCGGTCCTAGGAGGTAACTTTACATCTTCCTCCACTACTATGGTTATCTCTTCCTCTGGTGGGCATCCCAATGGCGTTCTCTCGCCGTTCACCACCAACACAGTAGGATTAAACTCAATCTGGGCCCTCTGGCTCCGGAGCCAATCTTCTCCCAAGATTGCCTCCGTACACAGGTCGGGGGTTACGTAAAAATTTTAGGTGCTTTTTACTTTCCCAGTCCTCACCGGGAGCCTCACCATCCCTTTTATCTCCAGGGGGGCTCCATCTGCTTGCGTGACCTCTATGTCCGCTTCCCGTAACCTTCTCTTCCGTTTCACCCGCCTGTATGTTTCCTCTCTCATCAATGACACAGATGCTCCTGTGTCCACCAAAGCCCTCATCTCCCTACCACCTATCTCCGCTCTACAGGATAGTTCTTTCTCTTGCGTTAGCGAAGAGAACACTTGAGCTTTCTTCTTCCTGGGTCCCCACCCTTGGGTTAACCCAGTCATAGGTAATAAATCACCTTTATTTTTCTCATGAGGTGGAGTTCTGCGCCCCCTGCACCTGGGCGACCCCGGCCGGAACTCTCCCGGTCTCCCTCGGCCGTTTCTAAAAATACAGTTTCTCTTCAGGTGTCCTGGCCTCCTGCAAAACCAGCACCTTCTTGTTGGACAGCTTGCCGCAAAGTGGCCCGCCCGACCACATGTCCAACATTTTGCTCTTTCCCTTTTTAACTGGGTTGGCCTTGTGTCTATTCCCGGGGGAACCGTCCTCTATTCAAGCGGTTCGCCCGTCCACTGGTCCAAGCTTTTATTTCTCTTCTTTTTAACTGGGCCACCCTCCCTCTTAATTCTGGGGTGGCCCGCTGGCTTTTCCCTGGGCCGGTCTCTTGGGCTCAGCTTTCTTTGTTAATATCGGTGGGGCACCCTTCCTCAGCCTGCACCATTTGGCCAGGTGTCCTTTCTTACCACACCTGGTGCATCTGTCCTGATTGAAGTCTGGGGGCAACCCCCACTTCGTCGGACATTCCGCCACCCTGTGGTCCTCGTGCCCACAGGTCCAGCAGACCAGCCCGTATCGACCCGGCGTGGGCTTATAAAAAGCCATGCCTGGTCGACCATGCCTTTCTATTGGGGTCTTCTTCCCATAATTCTGCCCGATCCACCTCTACCTTAACCCTCTGATTCCACGCGGGGGATCCTCCGCCTACCCCCCTTCTTCCAGCCTCCTGACTTGGCATTTGCTTCTTCCCACACCTCTTCACTTTTTCCCACACGCCCTGGCTCTCCCTGGCCAGCTCTATTGCTGCCGACAGTCTCAGCGGTCCCTCTTTTAGTACGTCGTGACGAACACGCTCGTCGCTCAGCGCCTCTACATACAGGTCCGCCAGTTGGGCCTGCATAACCGCATTATCTCTGACCACTTCGGGGAATGCCAACGACGACAGCTTCCCTGCTCGGGCCCCCAATTCTCCCGGGGTTTCATCCCGCAGCTGTGTCAGTTTTAGGAGGGCCCTCATGGCCTCTATGGTCATGCCCTCATCGGCGAACTCTTTGGTCAACAGTCTTTTTATCCCTTCCCAAGATAAGTGGGGTTGACTCTCCAAGAGCTCCTTCACGAACTCAGATGCTTTCCCTTTGTGGCATCGTATGCCAAATACAGGGTTTCTTGGTCTGAAAGCTTGTAGATAATTCGGCTCTTCTCCAGGATTGCCAGCCAGTTTTTAAATTCTTTCCCGCTGCCGTCAAATACAGGGACCCTCGGTCCACCTAACAGCTTTCTTAAATCAACTGACAACCCCTGTATTACTTCCTCTTCACCCCCACTGCTCCATCTGAATCATAGTCTGACATATCTACAGAGAAAGACAATCTATGCAGCAACAATCGAGGTCGGGAAATAAAATAAGGTGTCCTACCTTACAGACGATTCTGTTCTTGTTCTTTTCGGTCCCGGGTCGTTCTGAGTCCTGTTTGAATTTTCAGCAACGGCGGTCGATCGATGTGATGTGACGTAGTTGTCTCAGGGTTGAAATCCTTTGGTCACGGCACCATATGTGACGCCACTTGGTCCAGGGTCGAATCCTTTGGTCACGGCGCCAACTGTGACGTCGCTCCTCCTGGTCACTCTTCGCTGTTCCAAGTGTGACGTTCCAACCCCTTGGTTAGATGATTACCAGCCTCGCCTTTCCCAACTCGCTTCCAACACCTGGTTACTAGGGTAACTGTACTGATCTCCGGTCTGCCTACCCACGTTGTGATTAGATCTTAGACAGACGGGATCAAACAGGGATTGGGGCCGTATGCAAGTTGAGTTCGACGGGGGTGGCAAAACACAAGTAAAAGAAAAAACTCACGAGGCCAAAAATTACTGATAAAAAAAGGGTAACAACCTTTTATATCTAATGTTCGTTACATAAAAATTGTTCTTACTTCCCGACCCGCTTTGTGGACTGTGGCACCAAGCTTCTATCATACAACTTAAAGACTTCGAGTTGCCTACTCTCTAGAATTTTGTATGTCGGAGTGTGGTTTAGTTTTGACACTGGGCGCTAATCTCTACCAGTCGTTCACGGCTGATTCTTCTCTTCGGCTTGAGTTGGACGTATTTCTTCACTTCGATTTGGTTTGGACGAATTTCTGTTCTTGGGCTTGGTTTGATTTCAACTTCTTCTATGCATAACTGCAAGTAACTTCTTCTTCTTCCGTCCTGCAACTCTTCTCTCTCCCGTCTGAGGTGATCTGAGCTCTCTGTCGTCCGGGGCTGAACGGATCTGCTTGTTTGGCCTGCAACTTTACTGCCTGTCTGGCCTGCAACTCTTCTCTCTGCCGTCTAGGGCTGAACTGATTTCTGTCGATTGGGGTTCTGCTTTTATTGACGCCGCAACAAACTGGGGTGGGTCTGTCGGCGTCAGGGTTTTCTCGATAATTCCAAAAGTCGCATTATTTCTGATTTCCCATTATCGCTCTTATTTTCACCCCTACTTCCTCACAGTGCCTCTGGTGGGGAGGCGCATACCCATCTCTCCCGGTCTCTCGTATGTCAGGGTGACCGTTTTCGACCAATGGGTCCTGGTCGAGCGTCCTTTCTCCTCTTTCTCGCATATCACGTGACCGCTTTCGGCTAATGAGATTCTGGTTGGGCGTCTCCCGTACTTCGTGACGTCTCCAATCGGGCGTGGCTTATCCCGGCTTTGTTCTGGGAAAGAACACCTTGCTAAAAACAGAATCAATTTGGCCTTTTTCGCACGCACGAAAAAATGACAATCTCGGCCTTTCTCACCTTTCTGGTTTTTGTCAAAACAGCCCGCCGCTAATTAGATGTGACTTCAGGAAGATTTTTTACGTCTCGCTGGCGCTTTCTGTGAGCCAAAAACAATTGTTTTCACCTCTTTGTTTTTGCTCAGACCTGATAGTCAAAAATCTTAATTATCTGAATTGAAAATGTCTTCACTTCATCATCGTGGGGGGTTCTAATTTTTAACAGGTCAGAATCTGTATACAATTCCAGCGGTCACCTTCTCATCCCAAAAGACACCTTCTCCGATTAATATTTCGTTTTTCATTGTTCTAAAAAATCCCATTTCTCCAAATTGATAATGAGTCTTCTACACAAAAGTAGGCCAGATGCTTTTACCGACATTTTTATCAATCGTACATATGTTCATACACTTTTACCAAGTCTGTTTTCTTTCTTTCTTTTAATTACCTTTAATTCTATTCTTCCAAATAACAATTTCCATTGTCATTGAAATTCGGTCAGGCGCGTTGGCCTAGATACCTCTTGACACCTGTTTTCGCTAATGACCGGCCTTTTGCATTACTCATCCTCTCCCTTTCTTTTCCTCTTTCTCTTTTTCTTTTTCCCTTCTTTTTTTTTCTTCCCTTAGGATCGCCTAAGTACAATTAGAGAATTATTCTCGAAACTCAATTATTCTTCGTCTAAAAAAGTAACAACTGTTTAATAAACCGAATAAAAAAAATTAAATCATATTTCTATGAATATTTCTTTTTTTTAGTTTTTCTAATAATGCAGGGTGCCACATCAGTACCAACATCGGTAGAACCTTTCATAGTTTAGTACACAAACATTTTATAATCCCTTACTCAGGAAATTAAAGTTAACTACAGCTCCACTAAAAACTTGATCGATATTTAACCCAACATAATAGTGTAACTCTTATCAAATACTTAAACAGAACTAGTAGCAATGGTAGCCATGATGATCAAAAATGTAACTGTCGGAAAGGTACAATCTGTCCCATGAACGGTAAATGCATGTATAAAGGAGTTATCTATAAGGCTAGTGTTAAGCACAATGATCAAATCAAATTTTATTTTGCATATACCTCTAATAGTTGGAAAAGGCATTTCTATCATCATAAGATGACCTTAACAACAAAAAATATGTAAACACCACAGCACTCTATAAGCTTTACTGGAGCATCAAAACAGATGCCTCCATATCTCACGTAAAAAGGGAATTCGTAGTCCAAACCAAGCCATTTATCGGCAGATGGGGGCGACGCAACCTATGTCTATTAGGAAAAAAAAATCATCCTCAAAAATATTGGCAATGCACTTAATAAACGGGACGAATTCATGATAGCCTGTAGGCACAGGAAATCGTTTCTCTTAATGTACTGGAAGCCAGATTAAATTATTTTTTTTATTAAATTAATATATTTTTATTATTATTTTCTTTTATTAAGCATTATGTTCCACACACACTTACTCTACTTTAACCCGGCGGGTGTTACCTTATCTTAAGTAGATCAATGTTTCCAGTATTAATTTTGAATTTTAAATTTCTCTTTATTTTTAATTTAAAAAAAAAATTCTTTTCTTTTTTTAAAATGAACACTACCTCCAATTCATTCCCTGCATGTTTTGTTCTATTTTATTTTTTGTATATGTTGCAGAATTCTTCCCATGTGCAATCTGTGTATTTTTCATAAAAACATAAGATATATTTTGCGTCCGATGAGCTCTAAAACCAGCGAAACGTAAGTCACGCACCTAAAAGTAGGTATCTGTCTATGTATATTTATTAATATATATATATAATAATATATATTAATATTTATTAATACATATATATATATATATAAATATATATAATATTTATTATATATATATATATATATATATATATATATATATATATATATATATATATATATATATATATATATATATATATATATATATATATATATATATGAATGAAGGAATATAGTTTTAAGGTGTGCTATATTTATGGGAAAAGTGCTCAATATCAGAGATAGAGCATATGTAAATATAAATATAAAAGTAAACATTGAAGTCAACACTCAGAAGTGACAGTCTGTTTCATGCCAGACGCAATCGTCAGGCTGCGAGTGTTGAATTTTTTTCTCGACTATTTATATATATGGGTCAGTGGTGCATTGTGAGTAATCCATTCTGACGTTTATTTTGGCGGGAGTGGCCTCTTTATCTATTTATTTGGGTTAATTTTAGCTATTTTTGTTTTCATTCTTTTATGTTATATGAGATTATTATAATATATATATATATATATATATATATATATATATATATATATATATATATATATATACATGTAGTAGTTATTTTGTAATTTCCGTGTTATATATATAATATATATATATATATATATAGATACATACATACATAGATATGTGTATGTGTGTGTGTCGCTGTGTGTACGGTTAACATGATTTAGGAAAATATGAATTCATTTAAAGCCTATGGTATGTATATATATATATATATATATATATATATATATATATATACATACATACATATATATATATATATATATATATATATATATATATATATATGAAGGAATATATTTTTAAGGTGAGCTATATTTATGGGATAAAGTGCTCAATATCAGAATAT